AAAAGAAAAAGGGAAAAGGGGGAAAAAAATAGGGAGCGGGCGAGCACATTTTTTTTACATCACCATCTTTGGCAATTTTTCTTTTTTTTTTGGATTAGCCAAATGCCCTGAAATTTATAAGCATGTACTCTACATGCTACAGAACAGACCAAAAAAACTCAAAAAAATTTTTTTTTTTTTTAGCCCTGAAATGATTTTTGGCAGGGGCCAAACTTTGGGAAGTTCGGCCCCCTTACTTTCGGCATTACCCCCAAACATTCGGCAAGGGTGGAGACCCCCCCCCAAACGTTCGGGTGGGTAACCCTGGTAATGACAATACTCTAATGACAATAAAAAAGGCCTGAAAGGCCGTCCTGTCCAGATTTTGCAGGTAATTGGATTTGTTGGGCTTAAAAGAATTAGCCTTTAAACCACCACTACCTCCGTCACTCTTGGGAAAAATGGGAAAACTGGCAGTTTTCCCACTTTTCCGCACTTTTCGGGGGTCTGCAGAGGATCGGCAGTTGGGCCTTGTGGGCCCGTTCGAAGAACAAAAAGATAAACGAAAGACCAAGTCGGGGAAGCCGTGCACAAAGTTGTGCTCACACCGAAAGTCCGAAACTCACAGGAAAGAATCTAACTACTATTGTGGCCAGTTTCAGGTTTTCATTGTTGTGTTTTTGTTTTCTCTCTTTTTCTTGTTTTGGTGCCCTGCCAGGGAGGCACGGCGCAGTGCACACGGGCTGCTGACACTTTGGGGAGGAGGGGCATGCCCACACTACTACTTTGCAGAATGTATGAACCCGCTTTCCCGCCCTCCTAAGTTCAGTTTCAATTTTTTTTCCCTTTTTTCTTCTTCCGTGCACCTGACACCCCTGCCGTAACGCCCTCACTGAGGGCATACTCACCCAACTACTTTGGGGTAGGTATCTACCTGGTATCACGTCGAAAGGGGTGTTTGTTTTTTTCCTTTTTCTTTTTTGTGGTTGTGAGCGTTGTTTTTTAAAAGCCTGGCCGTGCTTTTTTCTTTCTTTATTTCAGAAGAGTACCAGAAAAGAAACAAAATGGACCCAGGCTCGGCAAAACTTGGTGTGCAGTGACAGTCAGGGTCGGCAAAAACAGGCTCGGAGGTAGTGGCGGTTTAAGAAGTAAAAAAAAAAAAAAAAAGACCCATGAACTGACCACATGACATTTCCTCCTTTTCTTTTCCCTCTTTTCTTTGGTTCGTTCATTTTCTTTCTCCTCAAGCATCTGACAACAGCAAGCAATAATTGTGTCGATCCGTTGCACGCTTCCGGTTCTCTGGCACAACAATCTGAAGAGCACAGAATACAAATGGGAAAAAAAGAACAAGCAAAAAAAAAGCTCAAAAAAAGGAGGAAAAGTTGGAAAACCGAGTAATAGTGTTGTAACATGGGCTACCAGCCGGGCCGTGCGGGTCACCTTGTTTGACCAGGCGGCCCAGCCGTGCAAGGACCAGAGAAGGGCCCAGCGGAAAAGGGGAAAAAAAAAAAGAAAAAAAAAAAGCTATGTGATGCATTAAATAAACTGAACAACTTTTGCCTCAGGGTCACATCGAAATCTTTACCAAATTTCAAATAAAAAATAGAATTATTTTTGGGGCCGGCCGGGCAAGTTGCCCCGGTCCACTCTGGTAGCCTCGGTCGTAACACACAACAAAGAGTGGAGCACAGGGAAGGCGAAAAAGGCACCTGAAAGTCCTCTTCGAGGCGAGCCAGTTTTACAGCAGAGGAGACAGAGAGACGATTGTGTGAGACAGCAAGCGCAATTATCAAGGACCGCGCAGCGCCGGCAAGAGAATCTACAGCAGTGAGCTCCCACAAGTCCATATCCAGAAGCACCTTCCTCATTGCCTCCACTGCCGCGGGGGGTTGTTCGACCCAAAACAAGTTGTGGAATTTGGAGGGGCGGAAACCAAATTCTCTCTCAATCCACGCAAGCAAAGGGTCGCCAAGCTCAGCTTGCCGTTCTGCAAGCCTCGACAGCTCCGGAGCGCGGCAACAAAGAGCATCTGTATGAAAGAACTCCAGCAAAGACTCGATCACGCGCAAGCGATCCCGGGGCATTTGATCGACCGCCGTAGATACGAGCTTCATCAAAGGCATGGTGAACGGGAGCACTGCCCGCCCTTGCTGCATTTCCCATTCTGCTGCCACAGCGAGGGCCAGCGCCTCGGTTTTGAAATGAAGGGGTTTCTTAGCTGGTGTTCGAAGCACATACCCATCAAGCTGTACTGTGAATGGCCTGCTCAGGTCTGGATCTCCCAACCTCTCGCCACTCAAGTTGGGATCTCGTTGCACGTCCACTTTCTTGTAGAGCCTTCCGAATGTGGCCTTCGATCGCGTGGCCTCTGCTGATGCGGCAGAGGCTTTGATCTTCTGACACTTGGCGGTCTCACGTGTGTCTTGTGGAGAGGCAATGGAATCGGGCACCAGAGACTTCCGCCCAGGAGAGTGTGCAGCAACACTGGAGAATCTTGCGGCGAATTGCAGGGATCGAGGAGTACACACATCACAGTATTCTCTGACCAGCCCCTGAATCAGAGCCAACAAACCACTTGCCCCACTTCGCCGCAGAGAGCCCCGCCACATTCGGCTGGCCATCATAACAGCAAAGCTCACAAACAAAACGGACGTTTTGACTACTTACACGCTTGCAACCCTGCAGGTACACCTTGCCACCTTCAGTTCGTACATACGCTGTTGCTGGGACTATGACAGCCTGGTCGTGTCAACAAGCAAGCGAAAACAGGCAGGGTGAATTAGAAAACGAAGCTTCAATAAAGTGAAAACAAGAGGGAGGAATGCAAAAACGTGCTTCAGAGTCTTCAGGCTCCGAAGGCATGACATACACATAGTTGTCAAACATGCTTTAGAGTTTCCAAACAAGAGGGAGGCATCTGAAAACGCACGCATGCTTTTTTTAGAGTCTCCAGACCAGGAAGGCCAACGGTGCAACAGCTTCGGTAAAATCGGCCACCAAATATCGACGAATCTTCTGCATAAGAAGAACCAAGATGACAGATTTGAACATTCAAGCATTGTCCCGTCGGCGAGCTCAGTAGGTTTCATGCCTGAGCGGCACCGCGTAGGGGCTGGGTTCTATCGTCACTTTCAGTGGCCTGAAGGATTGGTGGCCACGGCCAGTCAACACTGCTAACTCGCTGGGGCGAGTTGTGCCGCCCTGTAACCCGTTGCAATACGGGAGCATCGGGCCAAGTGGAAGTGGCTGCTCAGGTCCTGCTGCGGCCGGTCGGGACACACCCAATACACATCCAATAAAAGAGCTCTCAGGTTGAGTTCTCAGTCAGAATTATCATAGCTGACATTCATGATTACAATGCTTATCAGGGTTGAGACCCTCAATTTCACGATATTTCCAGAGGCAAAAAACTCTCAACATACCTGTCACAACATAAGCTCAATAAGGAAGCTCAATAAGTCATGATCATGACATCTAATCTACAATAATAACTTCCATAACAATCTCGAATTACCCAGGGTCGGTCACCTGTGGATATATCTCAAGACTGCCGCCCTTTCAAAAAAAAAAAAAAAAATTATGGACCCTGCAGGGGGGGTGAGGAGATCATGGGTGGTGCATGGGGGGTCCTCATTCTTGATGGTCTTTTCATGTCCTTGATTTCTAGGACTATAATTTTTGTGATACTATTAATTAATATTTATTTAATTTAATAATCCTGAACAGAAATTGTCATCCAATGAAGTAGGCCCTCATGCAATGCTCGAATCAAACATGTCGAGGACAAGAATACTATTCACATGCACGCATGCACACACACACACACAAGCACACACACACACACACACAGTCTTGAAACGGTTTCCACTTTGCAGTAACAGATGCAGATCCCAGGGCTTGAACCCTAGACCTCACCTCACCCGTGTACAGTATCAAGTCGACCCTTGTGTGTTTTGAACCCGTGACCTGCGTTTTGATAGTTGACTGTTGTCTGTCATAGGTCTGTGTAGGTGTCGGGTCTTGAACCGTAGGTCTGTCCAGTCAGCAAGTACCATGTGGGACTGTGTGCACCATGGGCCGGTGGAAAAGGACCAGACCAGCTACCAACAGAAGTATAAATCAAGAGGCAGCGTCCAGCCATGGATTCATTCTGCGTGAGCCATGCGGAAGCGCTGCCCAGGCATCGTGCGAGGTGGTCTGCAGATGCCCGAGGTTGAAGTGGGCTACGAGGGAGATAGAGCAGCCATCGCTGCTAGTAGTCAGGGTAAACGACCGCCACAGCCGCCATAGCCTAGAGTTAGTCTACAGCATGTGAGTGAGTGAGTTGTGTGTGTGCCTGGGATATCCAGGGAGATTCAGTGTGGTGTGCGTGTGAACAAGTTGATGGGAATACAGTGTAGGAAGGGAGCTGTGTAGGCGCTCAGGCGCCATAGCTAATCTGAAGCGAGTTTGTATCCGAACTGTGTTCTCGATTTGAATATCTCTGAGTTTTCTGTGGGCACCTGGCGCCAGTTTGGGTTGCCACCTGTTTGTATGCATGCTGAAAGAAAGCGAAGGTGAGTCTGATTGCATTGGTATCGGAGCTGGTTCCCGATATTCCACGCGCCATAGCAGAAGTGCGCCGTCGAAGAAGAAGGGTCCACCATAGCTGCGCCACTGAAGGAAGGTGCTGCGTACCTCCAAAGAGACAACGAGGAAGAAAGAAAGAGAGAGAGAGAGAGAGAGAGAGAGAGAGAGAGAGAGAGAGAGAGAGAGAGAGAGAGAGAGAGAGAGAGAGAGAGNAGAGAGAGAGAGAGAGAGAGAGAGAGAGAGAGAGAGAGAGAGAGGAGCAATGCAAGATTGGTTGTGCGGTTCAAGGAAGGAGGTGGCGGCCATAGCCGCCGAGCTCGGACACGAAGTAAACAAAGAAGAAAGACGATAGAGATAAGGAGGAGGAAGCGACGAAGAGTAAAGAGAGGGAAGCCATAGCCGAGGAAGAGAAAGGAGAGACAAAGAGGAGAGATTAGCCATAGCCAAGGGTGAAGGAGGAGGAAGAAAGTGAAGGTTGGTGAGAGAGGAGAGGTCGGCAGCCATAGCCGAGTTGTGCGTTGACCAAGACGTTGACCGAGGGGTTGACCAATGTTGACCAAGACTTTGACCGAGGAGTTGACCAGGGAGTTGACTAGCGTTGTCCAAGGCGTTGACCAGCGAGTTGACCAAGCGTTGACCAGAGCTGTTGACCATGAATTTGACCAAGCTGGAGTTGGTATACTCTCGCCAAGCCTTCAGCCTATCCGCTCGCCCTATGGATGTGCACTCACCCCATGGTACTTGATGAGTTTGCCTGTCTCTTCTTTCTACATTGAGTCTCTTCTGTCCAGGTGATAGAAACTCCGTGCATGTGGTCATAGAGTTGTGTTGATCAAACCCACATGAGCTGAGTAGGGCTAAAGGCCGTGTCTGACGACTAACTGACCCAGAGGACAAGCCCTCCCAAGGACCGGTACAGACCGGTGGGCTGCTCAGTGTGGCATGGTAGGCCCAAAATCCGAGTTGTGGGCTGCACAACCAGCTGTCTAAGTCTTGAGAGGACTTGCCGATCGCGTCGTCCTGTTTGTGACGTTAAAGAATTCCTGAGGAGTTATGGGGGATCTCCTTAAATGCCTCCTGATCAGCATTGAAGTCCTGTAGTGACAGCCATAGCTATAGGTCCAGGCTAGAGACCCTGAACCGGAGTGAAAGCCAGGAGGGTTGACCGCAGGTTTGTAAAGGACAGTGGTGGCGAAAGCTTCCGTCGGTTGTGGTAACCTGGCTGGAACAAAGGGGAGTACTTTGTGGTCCTTAGAGAGTTGGTCAGTTAGTTAAGTCAGTCAGCAGGTGGAAGTCTAAGTGGTGAGGAGTGGAACGGTCATTTAGTTGTGCATCTTTCACCATGGTGGACACGCGTAGCGGTACGAGCACCACACCGTATACAAAGAGTAGGAAGGGCAAGCCGCCGCCGTACTAAAAGAAAAAAAAGAGAAGAAAGAGTTGGCGAAGCAAGCCAAGAAGTAAGCCTTATTGGAGCAGCAGGCGGCAAAGAAGAAGAAGTTGGAGGAGGAGATGGAGAGATTGAAGAAAGAGGAGGAAGAAAAGTTGAAGGCAGTGGGAGAAGAAGAAGAAGAAGAAGAGATTCCCCTGCAAAGAAATGTCAGGAGGGCAAAAATAGGGGAGTCGAGTGGCACGACGGAGGATGAGAAGAAATTGGAAAAGATGGTGACTGAGTGGGTGGCTAACCTATCCTTGGGAGAAGATGAAGCAATGATTTACATTCCCCAGGATGAGAGGGACGCGGCAATAGCCGAGATCCAGGCAGTTCAGGATCCCTTGCAGCGTCAGGCACTGGAGGAGAAAAAGAGGATGGAGTGGAAGTTGCGCCTTAGAAGGCAAAGAAAGAGGCGCATAGAGGTGGCGACAGAATTGGAGGAGTTGGCCGCCATGAGGGAGCAGCACGTACGTTTGGCCAAGCAAGCGGATCTCCAGAACAAAGTGGAGATCATATGTAAAAGTCTGGAAATGATGATCCAGGCTCAGCAGGAGCAAATGAATTATTTGAGGGGCCATGATATAGCCCTGCAGTCCATGTGCGTAGGCTTTAGAGATTTTGCACATCATAGGATGATGCGCATGGGCACTTAGATGCAAAACCGGCTAACGAATATGGAGAGGTTTTACAAAGGTGCGATTGAGGGAGTCAAATTAGTAGCTCCAAAAGAGGAGGAAGCTCGCCCGCATAGGGAGCCAGACAAGGTAAAATTTTCTGATTCCTACAGTGGGAAAAAGGAAGAGAATTTTGATGACTGGGAGGAGAACATTAATTCTTACGTTCACCTCCCGAAGATCCTCCCTGAGGAGCAGGTCTTCATTGCCTTTCACGCCCTTAAGGACGAAGCATCTAGCTTCGCCAGATCGCTTGCCTCGCTTGCCCACGCTGCGCAATATGACAATAATATGGTAGCGTACTCAAATATCACTCCCCTCGTTGAGTTTTTCAGATTACTCCACGAGAGGTTTGCAGATGTTGCTAGGGGGATTAAAGCCTCTGACAAGTCGCAAACCATCCACTCACGTCAGTGGAAGAATGGCAGGGCACTCAAAGGTGTTATGGGCAAATTGGTTGTTGTCCCTGGGCATGGGGTCACTAAAACCCAATTGGTTCAGTTAGTCTACAGTGCCATTCCTAAGCCCTTGCGTAGGCACTTCTTTGAGAACAGCAAGGAGCCTGCCATGACCTACGATACCCTGAGTAGGGAAGTGGTGGCTTTTGAAGCCCAGTCCATGCCAATATCCACTTTCTGGCACAAAGATTTGGACAAGGGGCAAAAATGGAAGGGTCGCACCATCTCTAGCCGAGTCAAGGCCAAGGATCATTTGAAGGCGGTATGGAGATGGTCTCGTATAGTCAGATCGAGTGGGGCCTCGAGTAGGAGGACAGTAGTGTGAGCCAGAGGAAGACTTATGCTGATGTCGCGGTTGGAGGGAGGCCGCAAGGAAGAGGAGGGCCAAGGGGGTCGGGCCTCTGGTGGTCGAGGACAGGGCGCTCAGGGGGTTGGCGGGAGAGGAAACCGCCAAGAGGGAGGCAAGGGTCAAGGTCCCCCGCAAAATCGCCCTCGCTCCAATCAATCACCTCCCAGGAGGGGTGAATGGCACCCTGCACTACCGCAAGGCAGACCCTGGGAAGAGTTGGGTTTGGCACAG